ACAAAACTGTTGGAACAATTATAATGAAAAATAATGTTTAAGAAGACGACAGTAAAAGCTTAAAAACACTAAAACACTGATGGCAGCAGCAGGTTCCTCCTCCTCAGCTTTGTCCTGAAGCTGCTGTTCTGTTGGACTGGGTCGGAGAGAACCTGTCCTCTTTAATCTGACAGCTGTCAGAGAGGGTTGGAGCCATGTCTCTGTGAGCCAATGATGCTTCATCAGGGGACTCATCAGGAACCTTAGAGCTGATTCAGAGTTGCTCCATCTTGGTTCTGATGATCTGATATGACCCAATATTATCAGTGGTAAAGGAGATGTGTGTCCTCACTACAGCAAACATCTGATCCTCCTCTCCAGCCTCTCCTCTGCAGCTGGTGTCCTTCCTCTGTTGGGATGACTGAATGTCAGCAGGCAGATGGACGGCCTTTAAAATAGAAGCCACAACTTTAGAGCTCAGATGTCTGTATATGGATATTATATGAAAATATATTATCCGTCTGATGAGAGCAAACTAGCTAAAAGAAAGTAGTTTTGTATCAACTTTACCTTGTGCTGCGTTCAGAGCTCACAATTTATAATCCTGGAACAAGGTTGGAACAGCCACACACTGTTTTTTTCTGTGTGGGCGGAGCTATAGGAGAAATTGTATCTGATGGGGAACGCAGACTGAATAACACCTGTTCAACTTCTCACTATGCTGCCGTCTTTACAAGCAGAGAGTTTCAGGGAGCTGATTGACAGCTCAGGTATTTACCAGTCACCCTGAGCTGACCCAGTCACAATAGTTGCTATAAGAACAAACTTCCAGCAGACTCTATGCTCCATGGCTTCTAGGGTTGTTTTATTGTGACGTCCTGAATTGTTTTAAACATTAATTGTAGATCACATTGTGTGTGTGGTGACGGCGTTCCTAATAGAAATATGGGCTCATATTGATGTCATTATAATGAATTGTTGCACATTACAATGATCAGCATCAAGGTATAATGAAGCTCAAAGTAGCAGTTAGAGAGCAACACTTCATTCAAACTAAACTCAACAGGCTTTTTATTTTCAGACGGTTTCTTTGGTGAGTATCTGATGTCATTCAATCGGTTGCTGGTTGGCTGTAACAAATGTCCCTCAGGTGTGTTGACAAAGTCTCTCTGAGACAGCCTGATGGTGCCGTTTCCATGTTGATTTAGATACAGGGTAACCTTTGCTTCTTTGGCAGCATTTGAATTTCAACGATTCAGATTCCTTGTTTTGATCCTGGTTACTATTGATTTTCGATTCTGATTCTCAAAAGAAGAAGAATCCTCAAAGTTTCCATGTTATAAATTAGCTGCTAACCAGATTTCTGTCAGGATGTAATAATCTGAACTTCTCTAGGAATTTTCCTTCCGTGAATATCCAGCTTTGTTTGAACATTAATATAAATGATCTCATAGTTCATTTCATTTTAGTTTATTTCTATAGCACCAATTCACAACACATGTCATCTCAAGGCACTTTACAGTTCACCAGATCATCCAGTCAAATTAATTCAAAGTTTTCTATCTAAGGAAAACCACTTGATTGCATAGACTCATAGACTCGAAGGCAATCCCTCACACTAAGCATGCTTGTAGCGACAGTGGAGAGGAAAAGCTCCCTTTTAACAGGAGAGGAGCCTGATAACTAAAATATCTGCCTCCCATTCTACTTTTAGAAATTCTAGGAACCACTAGTAAACCTGCAGATTGAGAGCGAAGTGCTCTGTTAGGAACATAAGGAACAATTAGATCTCTGATATAAGATGGAGCTTGGCCATTTAAGGCTTTATATTAGAAGGAGGATCTAACTTTAAAAAATCTTAAAAATCTAAAAAAAAC